AGAGGTGCCATCGCCCGCGGCTGATGTGATGCTGGCCCTATCTGAGGGCGGAGAAGACGGAGAGGCGCTATCGCCCTTGGCTGAGGAGGAACTTGATGGAGAAGGCGGAGAGGTGCTATTATTGCTGGTTCTAGCTAAGGAAGAAGTTGGTGTGTCTCTAGCGTTTTCGGGAGAGAGGAGAGATAGATTATTGTTGCGATTGAGAGAGGGCAAAGGTAACAAACACTGAAGCCTTTTTGCAGTATCGTATACTTTGGTGTGTTCAAAGCGGAGTAGCTGCCGGAGATCATCGTCAGAGGCATTTTGTAAGGCATTTTGTAAGGCATTTAAGGCAGATTTAAGGGGATCCATGTTTGAGGAGGAGGTGAGTTGGAGGCGAGTTGGAGCGAAGCACAGCGAAGCGTCCCGTCAAATCCTACCGCCGCTTCGCTTGGTCCAATTAGCTTGTGGAGAAGTTTTCCGCAGAAAACTTCTCTACAAGCTAATTGGCACATCCACCTTTCCTGCACTGAGGAAACGCCACTATCGCAACGCGTCAAGCGCTCGGGTTCTCGACTGCTTTTCAATCCATTATTGGCAAGCGAGCCAGCCCATTCCTGGAGGGCTGTGCGGTTCGCGATAGTTTTGCCTAGCTGAGTTTAGCACCTTCATAGATCTACTTAAAAAAAAGCGCGGAGGCGATTGCACCTTCGCGGCATCCGGAATCTTAGGACTCGCCGTCGAACATCGCCTATAGGAAGTGGTGCCGCAGCTCGCTAGAATAAATCTTCATTCTGGTAGGGTTCCCCTTTTCAGCTGGCAGCTGGCGCAAGCTGCGATGATCTGAGGTGCGGCACGGAGAGGACCAACATGGTGGTATATAGAGCTGGTTACGCCCGACGAGGCTGAGGATGCACATTTGCCTTCAATCACAGCTACTCCGCTTATTTGTTTGGCTTGCATCTCCTTCCTACACCGCTTCTCTCCCGCAACTGCGTCCTGCATTGAGCAAGCCGTGCATGTTTGCCTTCTGTTGCTCTGCATCGAGCCCACCACATGTTACGCCCGACGCGGCTGAGACGTCCTTCAACTCATTGCCTTACCACTTCACTCCTTACCGGTTGCCTTCTTCAAGCCCGACATCAACACCATAGGTTCAGATCATTTGTCCCACCCGCAACAAAGCCATGTCGCGCCTCGTCCTCGGGCTCCCCCGTACGCCCACGTCAGCCCCCGTATGTGCCTCCTAATAATAGCTTACAACCATCTGACTATTTATAGATTGAGATCTGGGTTACCACAGTTATTGAGCAAACAGTCGAGATTACGAACGTCTGGAAAGGAATATATCGTCGAGCTGATGGGACTAAAACTACCACCACCCGGGCTGAGTATAGAGTTACCACTGTCTGGGCTTAGCCTGGTAGTTTCTGTTTGCCTTACTGTTCACCTTCCTATTGGGCGCTGGATGGGCTTGGTTGCGCATGCGGGCTTTGCTTACGATGGCGAAAGTCTATAAACACTTAGTTCTCCTATGACACTCTTGTCTTGCTCTGGTGACCCCTCACCATCGAATATCGCAAACTCATCCAATATTTGGCTTGCGATAACGTGCGGCCGCGACGCGCGGATTCCTGTCCGATCCACGCCACTTTCAAGTTGTGATCCTCTGCTGAACCCGCGCGTGAGGCCAAAAGTCCTGAAGTCCTCGTCCAGACGGATGCCCATGGGGGACTACGCCAGCCAGTCGACTGGCACCCTACACACGGCGACACCTTCTAACGCAAGGATAGTAATAAGACCGGCGAGTGGTTCTTAGGAAACCCCACGCAATACAAAATGTGAATCTTGCCACGACGTAGATTACATAGGAAGCTTACTCCTCTTCCCCTACAGCCTCTGAGCATTCACAATCTTAATCTGCTATCTCCGCGGCCGCCATTCGCTACAGAGCGCTTTCCAGCATGTCTCAGCGATGGTAATTGGCGTACCCAGCTAAAGCTATCGCGGGATTTCAGAGGCACGGAGACGCCACGCTACCACCTCACACTTCCTTGAC